TCTCTCTGTCTGGCAAGCGCACGCGCCCTATAGCGAAAATCTCTCCAAAAAAAAAAAAAGACTGTATTGAGAGCATGGGGTAGGGTGGTGCCATGGATATTCTTTAGACATTAATAGATGGCATCTCATCTAAGGCACACACTTATTTTTTATTTTTTTAAGATTTTTGCCATAGGGAATGTGGGCTCACCAGAGAGAGAGACAGTGAGAGAGAAAGTGAGAAATCACCCCCCGGGGAGCTGGCCACGCCGGATTGCCTCTCCTCCATTCTCCTCCTGGGATTTGGGGTATGTACACACAAGCACCCGGCATGATTTTCAAGCTGCCATGTGGGGGACTCAAACTGCAATTGACGATATGGGAGTCCAGCACCCTAACCACCATGCCATCTTCTGGCCCAGGTGGATACATTTTTAAAAAAGGCTCTATAGGCATGTTATTTAAAGAGAAGGATGGAAATGCTGTGGGGAAAATGGAAAACTTTAAAAGTGCTTATCCTTATCCTTCGGGAACTGGGAGTTATACAAGTGGGACAGCTTGTTTTTGACATATACCTTTTTGCCTTTACACTTTACAATCTCTTTAGACTTTCACAATTTCCTACTTAGTACTGTGATTAACAGTTTTACGACATAATTACAATGGAAAAAGAAAAGCATTTGAGCTACCCATAAGAGCAGTTTGAATTTGCCTCTCAGTAGCATTTATTGTGGTTAGACTAATTAGTCAAGATCTCCCACTGCATTGGGGGCCCTATCCTCAGTACAGCTGGAAATAGTCAAGGAAATAGATTCTGCACATTTGTCCACTGAGCAGCTTACTGCCTGGCAAGGGAATGTGCGTGCTCTCAGAGTCAGAACCCATGGTATTTGCCAAGGTCTTGTGACTCTAGCTGACAACAGCACGGGGATGGAAGGCAGAAGGGATGGGATGAGAAATGGGTGTGAGTCTGAGCTAAGGCCTGCTCTGACGAGGACACGGGAGCTCTAAGCCAGAGGATGAGTATGTGGCAAGCCAGCGTTCATTCTGGGTTGACCCCTAAACCTTCCTACCCTGGCTCTGCTTTTCCTCTCTGGAGACACAGGAATTTGAATCTTGAGGCTGGTTGGAATTGCATGCTGGACCATGTCTGGACTGCCAGCTGTGTGGCAGCCAGGGTGTGGTGAGTGGCAGTCCTTCAAGACCTCATCATGGCCGCATCCAGCAATCAAACTTAAGTTGTTTTGTCATCCAACTCTTTTCTGGAGGAGTCTCTGCTCTAACAGGGCTTACTTTCAAGTTAAGAATTCTTAATAACCAGCATAGCATGTAAAGAAATGGCAGTAACCACGTCTAAGGCTGCAGTGGGGTGCCTGTGGCTAAGTGTGGTTAAGTTGCACACGCTTGCCATTAGTCAGAAATGGAGAATGTGCCTCTGACAGGACTATGGCTGCTCATAAACTGGGGCGCTCATTGCATACATCCATTTGTAAAGGATGACCAGAAGATACAAGTGAACAGGAGCCTTCATTGTTGATGCTGGACTCCAGTGGATGACTAGGGACGTGTTGTCTCAGCCCTTCATCTGCCTCCTTGGCCTTTCCTCTCACCACACCAGGCGCACTCCCAGAGTAGGGCATGGAGGGCCAAGCCCACACCGCCATACTGTGCACTGCTTGTGAGAAAAGTGTAAAAAAGTGTTTCCCTGCTTTGACGACTCCTGTGGAGTGTGCCTCGTATCACTCCTCACTGGGTGATTTTCTCTATCTACACTTAGGAAGGGGAAGCTTGGGGAGGGGAACAGGCGTGTACGATGCAGTCAGGACCAGAACCCCTTTTAACTATCTTACTATTTTAGCCACTTTATGTATCTGAAAGTTGCATAACTCAGTGTATTTTATGTATTTTAAAACAGTCTCTAAGTCTGTCTGTGTCTTCTGTCCCCCCCCCCCTTTTTGAGAGAGAGATTTTTGCTATAGGGCGCATGTGCTCGCTGGAGACACACACACACACACACACACAGAGAGAGAGAGAGAGAGAGAGCCTTCATAATCACCCTCCAAGGTGGGGGTGGCCATGCTGCAATCCCTTCTTCTTCATCCTCCTCTCTGGATTTTGGGCATGCACACATGCCCGGGGTGAATTTTAAGCTGCCAGGCCTGGGACTTGAACTGCAGTCAACTACATGGGAGTCCAGCAACATAATCATTACACTATCTGCTGGTCCCCTGACCTGTTCATGTTAATCTGACCTGCTCGGGACCTCTATTCTCTGAAGCTAAAGCAGAATTTCCAGGGTGTAGATGCTGCCTGCCTTTCCTCTGGTCTGACTTTGAGGGCAGTTACTGCTTGTCCACGTGGGTGGCTCACTGCCTGCCTTTCCGTTGTGATTGTGAATTTTTCTGCTCTCTGACAGCAGGGTCCTTTGGACCTGGCTTCTGGGTGTGTTTGCTGACCCCAGTTTATCCTCGCACGTCGCTTCTCCGTTGCGCATCTCAGGTGTCCTCGGCTTCCTCCTGCTGGTCCTGCTTGTTGATTGCCACTAGGCCCGGATTGGGCTCAGAACTGCTCCAGTGCAGTCTCCCATGGTGACAGGTGGAGAGCACGGGACACGCTCCTCCCCTGGGCCTGCAGTCCACGGTCACCCCTTCTAGGGAAACACTCAGGTTGTACCCTTTAAAACTGATGAATAAGAGGTTTTAGTCTTCAGGTGTTCCAGAACTCTTTTTTGTTTCATTAGTAATGTATTTTACTCAACAAAATGTTCGAAAGATGTTTCTTTGGAAAATGTGGGTAACCAGGAATATCATAGAATTAAATAATTTGTGTTTAAACAAAGTTATTTTTCCCAGTTGGCAGTCTTTAACTGATTTTTATCATAGTTGAGAAATGGTTATGTTCTTAGCTACTGTGTATTTATTTTCAGTGGTGTTCTGGGGGAAACTGACGTGTTCTTTCTGCCCATGTTTGAAAAGTTGAAAGACATAAAGGTCTTAGCTTAGTTTACCCTGAAGGGACAGGCTCCAGGAACGCTGTTCGGATGTGATTTTTGAGTACCTTACCTCGAGTTCCTGTGTTATGTGTTCATGGAGTCCCAGGGTAGGAGGAAATGGTTTTATTTATTTTTTGGTACCTTTTTTCTTTTTGAGGAAGGAAAAGTGTTAGCTGTCTGGAAACCAGTGCGTGAGCCGTGCAGCCCCAGCCCCTGTGGTGGGGGGCACAGGGCAGAAGGCAGGACATGGCACCTGTGCCCTCGATTCCCCCTGGTCCTGAGCATCGACCAGGCCAAGGCCAGGAGCTCGGTGTTGGCGCGAGAAAGCCTCTCTCTGGCTGCCGAGCCCTTTTGCACATGAACTGTTGCTCTCAGCCATCCTCCCTGATTGGGGTTTGAACACAGACTAGGAGACACATCACATGAGGCAGAGTGGGTTTTGGAATTTAGGACAGGTGGCTTAGTCACTAAAGTTGTCTTTTTTAAGGTTTATCTAACTTCAGAGAGAGAGAGATAGAGAGACCCACACGCTCAACAGTCTTCATGCCACGATCACCCCCAGGTTCACAGCCTCGGATTGTGGCACACACGTGCCCAGCGTGTTCAGAGAAGTCTCTGGATGCAAACCAGAACCTCCCCTGCAAGTCAGCCTTGCAGAGTGCTGCTTACCTCTGTGCGACCTAAAGTTTGGTCCTCAAAGCTGTAGCTTTTAAACACTAGAGCAGAACACAGAGCAGGAGCACTGTTCTTCTGACCCCACCCTCCTCCTCTTGGAAGGCTGGAGAGTTTTGTGCATTGAATTCTAAAAGACAGTGGGAGAAAAGACCCAAACCTGTGTAATGAAAGAGGTGAAACCAAGAGAGGCCTCAGATTTCTTTGAGAATAATGCTGATAAAGTACTAACTAAGGCCAGAATGCGGAATCATTTCTGGCCGGAAGAAAGGTCCTCATGTTAACACCTTTCTTTACATTTCTCAGGGAATCCTTTGGGTAAGGTTTGTGCCGTGGGGTGCATGTGTTCACGAGAGGGACGAGACGCAGTAAGAAGGAAAGTGGATAGGAAAGAATTTGTTCACTTTCTTCTGGTGGAAAGGGGCTGGATGCGGCATTGCACTGTGCGCAAGAGCGGGGGCAAGGAGCTCTTACTGGCCCTTGAGGGAAGGGGGCCGTGGTTCAGTACTTGGGGTGATCCATCTGTCGGTCCCCGGGTTGCTTGGTGGTTATCTCTGGATGTCATATCTGGCTGCTGTGTTCTCACACGTATTCATCCTTAGTTTTGGTGCTAGCTGTTGACAGATAGAACAATCTTTATGTCCGCAGGCAGGGACTCAGAAAACACAAGGTTAGCTATCTGTGATGAAGTCAGGAAAGGACCAACTGTATTAACTTGGGAAGAAAAAGGAAGGAGAAAGAATGTCCAGGAGTTTTGGATGGGCCTTTCTCTAAGGCGCCAGCGAGACTCTGAATTAACCCTTTCTCATCCCTAAAGCGCTCTCCTCCATTCTCCTCCTGGACTCCTGGGCAAGTACTCACATGCACCTGGCGTGATCTTCAAACATTTAACCCTTTCAGTAGTGCTTTTTTTGAAAATTTATCTAGTAATAATAATGGTGTCTCTTTTTTATTGTCAGTTCCTCTTTTCCTATCATGTGCTTTCCCCTTCCCTCTTTCTTTGCCCTGTTTCTATTCTGCTTCTTTCTTATGTCTTGTCTTTTGATTGAGGGCCCTGGGAAATTCTGTTAATGACACCCAAGCATAAAGCATCCCATATCCCCTATTTGCTGTGTTACAGTGAACAGTGGAGGGGAATCGTTAATGAAATCAAACTACACCTATAAGGGTTCACCGAAGCACAGCACTTTTGACCAGTATTTTCACGGCAGCTGTTACATGTGGGTCCAGGAGGCAGTAGAGACGGGGTCCACAGACTTTGCCTCCCTAGCATCGCCCTGCAAATGAGTGGTCAGGAGACGAGCACTCGAGACATAGCGGGAAGGGCCCTGGTCATTCTGCTTGTTCTCTCACACAGCAACAAAGGAGAGAGCGGGAAGCCAGAAGGCAGCAAGAACGTGAGCAGCGAAGGAGAGAACAAGAAGAAAAGCGACGTCTGGAGGAACTGGAGAGGAGGCGTAAAGAGGAGGAAGAGAGGAGACGGGCAGAAGAAGAAAAGAGGAGGGTGGAGAGAGAACAGGTTCGTTCGCAAATTATGTTCCAGCCGCTCAGCCGTGAAGGTGCTTTGTTTCTACACCTGGGGGTACGCTGGGGTTAGGGCAGACAGCACACGTGCGTACACATGTGCGTGCGTACACATGTGTACACACGTGTACACACCCTCAGGACTTGCAATGGTGGGAGATGGGACAGCATTTGGAAGCATACTAGTGAATCGAGTCTCTAGTCTTAAGCGAACTGTGTATTATACTTTAGAAACCTCTTGAAACTAGCTAATGATTTCCGATTAGTCTAATACCTTAAAAGATTGTTGAATGTGTCTCCTCAGGCTTGGCTTAAATTCTGTGAACACCAAATAGCTGGAAGAAATTTTAAAAAGAATTAAAAACCAACTGTAAAAAATTTCTTGAGAGAAATGTTGAAATACTTAGTGCTTAAAGTGAATTTTGTAACATGCATTTGCAAATTACTCCATGCTTATGCAGCATGGGAAAATAATAAACATGTTTAGCGTGTTCTTAAATTTTGGCTCTTTCAGCCAAAAAAGATCAAGGCTTTCTAACATTTGTAGCATTTTATTAATGCTGGGTGTCATTTTATTGGGAATATGTTTTTGGTTCCTGAACCATCTGTATACACCAAAATCATGCCCAGTATCTTTGCTTTTCTTTGAATTGATCACTCTTTGTTATAATAAGCCTTGAATACAAGAAAGAAAGGATATGAACGAGAATTTTTGGAGGAATTGGGACCAGTGTAAATAATACGTAAACTTCATATTTGAAATGCTCATAAACCGTTCCTGGTGAGAACCGCGTGCCTGGGGTTTTCTGAGACCTCGGCTTACCTTGCTTGTCAGGGTTTCCCCAGGCATGTCAGCGATTCTGTCACCTTATCGATGTTACCACCCACTTCTCTGTGTAGTGTATGTACACACGTCCTGTGTGCGTGTGTGTGTGTGTGTATTTTAACATTCCACCTACATTTACGCTTGAGGCTGCAGAGAGGAGAGAGTGGACGCCTTAAAGAAGGGAACCTCCGAGGGATAACTCGGCCTTGCCTGGGAGCGGGGTGTGATGCTGGTGCTCCAGTGGCAGCCATGAGACGCGCATGGCAGGTCTACACTCCTCCTCTCCGAAGTGACATCAGACCCCCTGCTTTCTTACGCTTCTCCCTAGTAGTAGTTCCCACATCAGCAGGGCTCTAGGACACATTCCATTCTGGCCTAAGTGTGTCTGCGTGTGTACGAGTGTGCGGGATCTTGTCTCTTTGCCTTTGTGATCTGAATACGATGTGATTTTTCTGGTTGTCCCTGTGACCGGAAGGCAGAGGACAAGTACTAACTTGACCTTTTACGTTAAGATTCGTTCTGTTTTGTTCAAAGAAGAGATGGGTTGAGATCCCGGCCCCGCAACCTTCGTGAGGGCAGGTGCCGGCGCAGCGAGTGTCAAGGAGAGCGAGGCACACTAGGACGGGCCTGAGAGCCTGGGTCAGAACCAGGCGTCTTCACCAGCGGCCTCGGAGAGGAGCTTCCCCTGCCCCTAAGTCTGACTTTTTAAAGCTCCATTTGCTTTATGAGAGAAGGATTCCTAAGGACATTCATGTTCTGTTTCCCCTTTGGTTACCCAGCACTCTCCTAAGCAGAATTGTTGGCTAGCTGGAACTTCAGCTGTGACTGTGGCCATGCTTATTTGTGCGTGCCACGATACAAGGGGTGCTCAGTGGCAGACACTCTGAGACGTGATCCGATTCAGGGTGAGGTTTCTCCTGCTCCTCAGTCTACCCCCTTCTAGAGCAGGTACTTAGCTTTCTTCCCTGTCACAAAGGAAACCTCTTTGGCTTGTTAGAAAGTTCGTGCTTTTCAAAGTTATTTCAGACCTACCTCCTGTTTGAGCCTCACAAAAGAGCCCTGAGAAGGACCAGCGGTTAGCGTAATGGCTATGTCGCTGGATTCCCATGTAGTCGACTGCGGTTCAAGTCCTGGACCCGGTGGCTTAAACTCACGCCGGGCGCGTGTGCGTGTGTGCCCAAGATCCCGAGAGGAGAATGGAGGAGAAGGGATTGCGGCGTGGCCATCCCCTCTGGGGGGTGATTTCTCACTTTCTGTCTCTCTGTCTCTCTCTGTCTGTCTGGCGAGCGCACGCGCCCTATAGCAAAAACCTCTCCCCCCCCAAAAAAAAGAAAGAAAGGAAAAAAAAAGAGCCCTGAGAGTTGGGAGAGGAGATTTTTTATGCTTTTCTCAAAGGAGGAGACTGACATAGCGGGCGGTGAGGAGCACCCTGGAGGTTCAGGGCCCGGGCCCAGGCCTCCTAGTTTCTCTGTCCATTAGAACGTGCAGGCCAGCTCCAGGGAGGGCTTATTGACCTGGTTTGCATGTGTGTTCCTGTTTGCTTTGTCACAAAGGTCAAGCATTCTCTTCTCATTGAACATCCTCGTTCTCTTCTCATCTGCACACACTTACCCCATCCACCCTCTCTGTACACATGTGCATCCCACGTAGAGCCAGGACCTCTCCCCGTGCGAGAGCTGCCCGAGTCTGCCATTCTCTAGCCCGGCTCTCAGAATGTCGTCATCCCAGGCCCCTTCCGCATCCTCAGGGAGAGCACAGATTGTATTTGTTCTAGTTAAACACGAAGCAGGTTTTAGTCACCAAAATTGGTGATCCATGATTGTTATAAACGATGATAAATAAGCAGGTGTCTACTAATCAGAAGCCCCCAATTCTTTGTAGTTCAACTCTTGATCTCTCCGGAGTTGACCGTCCTTATAAGGAATGGCGTCCTCCAGAGCTCTGCATCTGTCCCTACCTGTGGGGTTCTCACAGAAATCATTCCGACACCGCGAAGTCTGTGGTTGGAATGTCATCCTCATTTACTAGACTCTGTTGGTCTTACTGGCCAACTTCAGGTTCTTGGAAAAGTCTTTAATAGCAGATGTTTTAAAGGTATTCACTCTAAGTGACTTCCCACTAATGGTGATTGGAGCACATGGGTCTGGGTACCCCGTTCAGGTGGTTCTGGTGCGTCCTTTTGGATGAATTGATTGCTGGGTAATTTCTGTGTGACAGGAGTATATCAGGCGACAGCTAGAAGAGGAGCAGCGGCACTTGGAAATCCTTCAGCAGCAGCTGCTCCAGGAGCAGGCCATGTTACTGGTAACGCCCCGCCTCTGTCTTGTTCTGTTGTGTCAGGGCGTGTTCCTCCCTCCCCGAGTCGGGCAAGCTGTGGTGATCACCAGGCCGTTTTGGTTAGCGCCATGGGTGACCAGTTCCCACGATCAGACTGCTGGGGCACATGGCAAGTGGCTTGTACTCACTTTCCACTAGGGAGTTACTGTTCTCATGTGATTAGATAGACGCGGTTTCAAACAGACCTTGACATTCAGGGAACGGACTAGAATGCTGAGGGCTGTAGGTTCAAAGCGCGTCCAGAGGATTCTCAGCCTAGTACAGACACCCCTGAAACTGACGTTGGTGGCGTTCTCTCTCCCTCTCACCATCTCATGGTATTATCGTTACCAGACCTACAGCCGTCAGATTTTTCCACAGGCGATACGCTATTTAAGATCACAGCCATTCCGCTTTGCTATAAAACAAGGGGGTGGGAGGGTAGGAGAGGTATTGTCTTAACAACAAAAATAGGAGCACATCCAGAGACGAGGCGAGCTCTCCAGTGTCCCGTAGATTTAGTGTTATCCTCTCCCTCTCCAAGGAGTGCCGATGGCGGGAGATGGTGGAGCACCGGCAGGCAGAGAGGCTCCAGAGGCAGTTGCAACAAGAACAAGCATATCTCCTGTCTCTACAGCATGACCACAGGAGGCCGCACCCGCAGCACCCGCAGCCCCCGCAGCCCCCGCCGCAGCAGGAAAGGAGCAAGCCCAGCTACCACGCTCCCGAGCCCAGAGCCCACTACGAGCCTGCTGACAGAGCTCGCGAGGTACCGCCGCCTCCACGGCCTAGGCAGGGCCCCATGGTGGCTCCTCTCTGGAACGTAATCTAGTCCCCCTTCCGAACTGGGTAACGGGAGTACCCTGGGCCACAGGGATCGGCTCACGGATCGCCGGCTTTGCTTTCTAACTGGAGGTTAGGAACCGAGGTTCAGCATAGTGGAGGGACTTGCCCAAGATCTCACCTTTAGTTGGTGCTTTTACTGTGACAGACCAGAGTATGCCTCTGTTTCAGATCTCAGATGAATGGGGAACTAAACGAAAAGAAAACTTTATGGCAGAATCATTCTTAAAAATGTAACAGCGAGGGAACCAGCAGTTAGCGTAATGGCTATGTCGCTGGACTCCCACGTAGTCGACCGCGGGTCGCATTCC